CCCGGGACTCGCACAGACGCTGAGGGAGCCGCGGGTATTCGCGGGCCCATGGCGGATCAGTGAGACAAAAGGCGGGTCCGACACTTCCCTCAGCGCCCAGTGCGGGTCAGTGCCTGCGCCCGGCTCTTCCCACAGCGTCCAGCCCTTAATGAAGCATGTGAAAAACGCCAACCACTTGTTTTAAATTTAAATTTTAATGATAATAAAATGGTTATTTAAAATACTAATATAATTAGAGTAATAAAAATTTTAGGCAATTTGGATTAGGACAATATGAGACAATAGAAACAAAGAGTTAGGGACAGTCCGGGTACCTCTTTCTGGGCAAAATAAGCCCGAAAAAGGACACACCTTAACAGAGGATTAACCCTTAAGAACAATAACCTGTTGCATATTCATACACCTCATACATGATGCATAAATTCCATTCAAACACAGGATTCTGTGTGTTCATCGTCAATTTCTTCCTCTGAATCCTAACGGCGTCTTCATGGCTGAGAGAGAGTTAGGAAGAAGTTCATTTCTTCTGATAATGGAGCAATAAATTCTTTTTCTCTGAAAGATTTAGGTGTCCTGTGGGTGGTATTTCTTATTCTTTTAAAAGTACCTTACATAGTAAAGTTTCTATTTTAGTATTATGTTATAACCTAAAACTATATTTAACACACTACTAAAAATATTAACACAGCATTACTTTCTAACACAACACATATAATATTCGTTTTAATGTTTGTGAAAAGCCAATCATAAAATACATATTTTTCACTAGGAGATGCTGAGTGTATCCATTATATCCCAGTGAAGGAGAGCACGGGTAGATCCTGGGCTGTGCATTGCCCTTTCCATGCAGAAACCTGAATTCCACAGTCTGGGGCATCTCTGAGAAGGGATCTCATCAATGCATGTAAATATCTCAGGGTTCCAAGGGGAGAGTGCCAGGCTCTGTTCAGTGGTGCCCAGGGGATGAGGAGCAATGTCTGTAAACTGAAACACAAGAAGTTCCACCTCAGCTCGAGGTGGAACATCTTGTGTTTCAGTTTACAGACATTGCTCCTTTACTCTGAGGGTGTAGGAGCAATTGTACACTCAATTTCTTTACACTGAGGGTGGCAGAGCCCTGGCACAGCTGTCCAGGGGGGCTGTGCAGTCTCCCTCCCTGCAGACATTCAGAGCCCACCTGGACACGTCCTGTGCCACCTGCTCCAGGTGACCCTGCCCTGGCAGGGGGTTGGAATGGAGGATTTCCTGAGATCCCTTCCGACCCTAACAATTCTGTGATTCTGTGATCCTGGCTTTCTGCACCCAGTGTTGTCCTGGAGGGGCCTTTCTCTGCTCCCTTCTCTCCAGTGGGTAGGTCTCTGTTTCAGAGCCATCTTTGAGCTTCTCCAGCATTCAGCCATTCTTCTGAGACTGCTGAGGCTCTGCTGCTTACCTCACATTTGCTTCTTTATCCTCAGACTGGCCAAACATTTAAACGTGTATACACCATCAGCACACTTCAAGCAGAATATGAAAATATCATAAAAGGTGTATTTAGTACTGCCAGTCAGTGCAGAATTTTCTGAACAGATGACTGGAAACAGATGTATAAGGAAAAGAGTAATAAGGCAAAAATGTGATGAGACTTCACCAGTATATGCTGAGCATCTGGTGATTTGCAGGTTAAGGGCTTCCTGGTCTAGGACAGAGATGTAGCAGCAAATTATTATTTTTGTTCTGTTTCCATGGTATTTTTTTCCACTTGATTTCAGCACGGTGTCTTCATAGCTGTTCCTCAGTAGTGGGTAGTGCTAGAGGTGATAAATCATCTTTTTGTTACCTCCTTTTGTCTTTGTTCCCCTGGGCAAAGTAAGTAGGAGTGGATAGAAGGTGCCCATAATG